TCAAAATCAAGTTAGTAGCTACCTTTTGGTTAGTAGAGTTTGACAATACCAGGGCTGAGATTATCCAAATGATTCTAGTGAAGATGTATAGAGTTAAAAAAACACAGTGGAGCACTTCTTGTTTAACTACATGACATACATGACAAGGTGGTACAGAGTGTTTTCTGTTTGAGAGAAGAACTCAGCCTAAATATGCAGGTTTTGTGTGTTAAAGATGTGTGAATGAATGAAAACACAACTCCAGGTATGTCTGTGATGAGGAAACATTATAACATAGATCAGAAAACTGCAAAATATGAGCCCTTTAAGAAATGTAATCTATACTTGACACTTGATGTTTTCAGTGTTTGTAAGGCAAATCCACAGAAAAAAGTAAATAAAAAAGATATAAAAAGTATTTTCATCTTTCAGTCATTGTGATCTTTATATTTCCATATATGAAAGTCTGGTGATTACTGCAGTAATAGTGGGCAAAAGATAGACCATTTTAAATGTAAAGAAAATAATCTTTAATTTAGGCTATTCAATATTGGGTGACAAATTTGATCTATTGTGCCTTTTCATAGAAATATAAAAAAACAAAAAAAACAAACAAAAAGAAAACAAAAACAAAAAACAAACCCAGGTGTATGTGGGCTTTTCTGATCTGAACTGTGTGGTTGTCATCTTTCACACTATGTTGCAGTCTAAATGCAGTTTGCCTTGAAAAGAGACAGTACCCAATCAATAGGCTCTGAAATGCAGGTGACTGGCTATTAACTCTTAACTCAATCTATTTCAAATGCTTTATATGTTATATAATGGTATAGTTTTGGTCTTGATAGATTTCCAAATATATATTTTGTAGCTCAGTGTGGTCTTAATAAAACACAATTTACTCCAGTTAAATTTATGCACAAGTGTTGCGCTGCCTCTCTCATCTCGCTCCCTTGTAAACACAGCTGGAGAAGTTAAATTGTGTTAAGATTTTGCTCAATATTTTACATACACTGAATATATTAAGACTGTGCTGCATATTCATTAGACCAAAACTCAAACGTGTGCAGAAAATTAGTCCAGTTTTAACCTTTGATTCCTCTAATCTGACTTCAAATATAAAGTGCATGTACAAACCGCTGCATATGATTAGGCCTGAGCTGAGCTGCAGTCACGTGTGTGCAGAGCGGTCAGCCTGATGAATTTTACATGATGCATTAAGAACTTGCGCTGAGCTGGAGCCAAAGTATTTATAGGTCGAAAGCCCAAGATAGTTCATGCTGTTCAAATTCATAGAAATGATTGTTCTCCGAGATGTGCAAAGTTACATGTAGCAAGTGTGATACAGTGTCAGAAGTGTCTGACTGTGAATCAGCAAGTCCTCCAATGACCTGTCAACATACTTGTAAATGTCAGCTATTATCACTAGTAATAGAAATGTAGGAAGATAAAAGCAAAATGTCATATGTGCATACATTAGGCCTGTAGGTTTAATTCAGCAGGCAATTAATGAGTGAAATGGGGCTGGAGAGTGAGGAGAGATATTCACCAAAATTAGATTATAGCTTGCCTTACTGTAAAAATCAGACTATTCTATCTACATTCAGAAGAGTCTAAAGCAGTTCTGATTGAATGGGTTTTAAGAATATGACAATTATCGGTCTCTATACTAAATGTGCACTGGCATATAAAAAAGCTCATTTTAATAGAGAGCAGGATCCAATCATTTTGGCATAGTATTTTTAATTGACCTGCAGTCAGCTCAGACTTTGTAGCAATAAATTGGATTACTCTGTGTCTAAATGGCGCAAGAGGTTTATAGCTAAAAAGTCTTACTTGTCTTTGCTTGTGAACCTGATTATAAAAACTGTATTTAAAAGGAAACCATAAAATCAAACTGAAAAATTGTGGTTAACTTTTTCAGCATATTGTACAGCTCTATGTTGCAGTAACCTTTGCTCGTATTTGGCTAAAGTGGCTATCCACATTATCATAACATGAATCTCCACTCACTGGTTCAACATGTCTCCATAGGTTGAGCCAAGTGTACCACCGACAATAGCTTCCAGCTCTGCCTGCACACTGTTCCTCTATTCCTCTATGGGACAATCCTGCTTCCTCACAACTTATAGTAAAACTTCACCAAGCCCAAATGAGTTCACATGCCGGCTCTTATACTGCAGGGTTAATGGTCTAATCCCCATGTGTTATAGATATGAGATATATTACTGTGGATGTTTTGCTGGGTTAAAAGGATCTTTCGGCTTAAAAGGAATTAGATATGTTCCCTACTTTGTGTTAAAGAGACTCGCTAATGCTTGTCTAGATCACTTTTTAAGGATGTCAATTCTAATACTGTCAAATTTGAATAGTCAAAAAGCATAAAAGATAAATATAAAAAACATGCACTTCTACAATTATGAGACATTTATGAGGGCACTGGGAAAGAAATAATTTTGATTGCTTGATTGATTATTGGATGACTTGTTCCTCATATTGATCAATCACCATTTTATTTCTTCTTATTAAAACAAATAAAAATGACTTCCAATTTCAATTCCAAGAACGTAAACAAGACAGATGTTAAGCAGTGCTATTTATCACAAATGTAAGTAGTATGTAAGTAGTCTAAGTTCTTCCAAAATGTAAAATCTGCTCCAAACCACATGCTTTTACTGACAGAGAACTGACTGTTAGGGCTGGGCGATATTGGGAAAAAAAGAATCAGATTTTTTTTCCCCATATTGACCAATCTCGATTTTTGATCTTATTAAAAACATAAACAGGTGGACTTCAGGCAGAAAGGGCAGGGTGTCAGGATCACTACAGATTCATTTCGTGCTGATAGGACCAATAATTTCGGAGACAGACGTGATTTAATTGCGTTAAGTTCCGATCTTAAACGGTGAGAATTTATTTTCTGTAACTTTTCTTGGATCATAAAGATGAGAAGCAGTAGAAGAGAGAAAGAGGAGAAAAGGTGAGGAGCTGTGGCTGGATCCGAGCGAGAGGAGGACTGGGGCAGACGACACTATATATATGCACACAGAGACAGACGCACACAGAGACAGACCCACACACAGAGACAGACGAGCACACAGAGACTTGACTTTTAGTCAAATCGTGCAGATCTAAGTCCAAACTTGTGAACATGTGAGGAGACAAAGGGATGCGCTGTGCCTATGTTTTCCTAAACAAGAGAGTGTAAATTCTCATCAGCATTATGCGCTGTTACTGCCACATGACTGGCTGTTGACCTGTCGACTAAAATGTACATGCCTTATCATAAAGCAGAGAATGCAGTCTATCTATCTTTCCATTATAAAGCCATTGATAATTAGATGCCACTTCAATTTGAAAATATTCAGGCAATTGCAATGTCCTTTACATACAATGTAACTTGATGTCAAAAAAGAAAATAAAGTAATACTACAATAGTATATCATAAGTATAAAACTGCATACAACTGTTCACTTGTAAACTGATGAAATTAGTGCATTAGGTCAAGAGAGAAATCTACAGATGCTCTCCAAGGATGTGGCCAAAAAGTATAAAAGCTTGCCAGTGTTAACAAAAGTTATGATCTGAGGCCTATATAGTATGAAAAGTCCTAAACTGTATATTTTTTTATGTATTTTATGGCTGGATGTCTCAAAAAAAAATCCTTCATTTAGTTCAACAGTAATCATTATAAACTTAAACAGGCCTGTAACACTCGCTGACATGTTTCCCATATGGTCATGCTAAAACACTAGCATGTGTGTGATCAGAGGCACATGGAACAGCCTGTCTGAATGTGAGTTTGCTGAGAATGGCAGCGGGCAGTGGCAGGTATTTATTGGCCCCAGCTGCTCCTGTGTGATGGAGACATGACGTCCAGCTCTCCTCAGACTAATGCGGTGATGTAGTGTCAGAGCTGTCTATGTGTGTCTATGAGAGAGGAGAGAGACTTTAGCACAGGTTTACTGATTTACACTCTGCTATAGCACAAGTGCAGCTAATTCAGTATCTACAGTACTCAGTATATCTATATATCTATGTATCTACATAAGGGTAAAGACAAGATCCCACATAAATGAGGCAAGAAAACTAAACGTGTAGGTGTAGTAGTAGTTCATGGTAGATATCTCATTAAATATGATGTAGTGCACAGTATAACACCTAACCTATAAGAGGTGATGACCAGTATACTGATATGCATCATTTCCAGTTTGTCCTCAGTGCATCAAATGTGTATTTTAAAACAAAAAGTGCAAATAGAAAGAGAACAAAAAACAGAGCCACCAAATGACCAGGTGGTTGGATAATCCTGATAAAAACTGAACAATGTTTTTTACAATAGTGGTGATATTTGAGGGAATTTATTACAACTTCACCTCATTTTCTGATAGTTATTTACTGATAGTTATCTTGCACAGTGCTTTACATTGAACATTACACTTACAATATTTCAAGGACAATGTAAAATAGAGTGACCATAATCTTTAGTCCAGCAAAGGTAGAATGTTGTTTTTTTTTCAGTCTTGAACATGTGTGAGATACGTTTTCTAACTAGTTTATTTCTATAAATTGTCAAAACTAATGTAAATACAGTAAACCTAGTCTGCATTAAATATAGAACAGCATGTCTAACCATTAAACAAACCCATATGTTCATATTACCAACACAAACATATCATTTCAAAATAACCCACAACAATTAATAACAGCAGCAGTCGGCATAGACCTCCTCGCCATATGTTTTCCACATCCATAAATCTAAAACGGGGCCTTTTCCAAATTTACTTTTGACTCAATCATTTACAACCAGCTCCTCCCTTCTCTAATGAGCAGCTTTCCTGGAAAATATACTCTCCCATATACAGTGCATTCAATATTTCCCGGCATTAGCTTGACATCTCGTCCTAATAAACTACTTTTCGCTGACACCTTGGATATTGCAGCTAATAATACGTCTGCCAGTTCATATGTTTATTATTGTAAGTGTGTGTGGGCCTTCATAAGACAGTGTAGAGAAGCCTTACCTGGTTTGGCGACCGAAACTCTTGGTTATTGTCATTCATGTACATGTTGTCACCATCAAACTGTGAAGACAAAATAAACAACATCAGGAATAGAAAAAAAAAAAAAAAAAAAAAAAAAAACGTGCTGTGAAGTATGAGGGTAATGATTTTGTCACTTCGGTTACAGGCCTCGCGGTGTGGCAAGGCAGCGTGGGTAATTACTGTTCGTCAGTGGGCCCGTAATTAGGCGATACATAGCTGAGAGACGGGCTTTCCCTGTGGGCTTGAGTGTGAACGTATGTCTACTCCGATACAGCCTCAGAGCCGTGTGTGGTGCTGTCTAATCAGGAAGAGAATAGAGTATAGGAGCCAAAACAGTGTTCAGCTCATGAACTGAAAGGTGCACTGTGTAACTTTTCTGGTGGAGGGTCCATCACTTGTTGCTACTTCTTGCTTGTTTCAATAGCGATGTCATTGCTCTGCCTGGAATGTTCCACAGTATGACATTAAATAGGTCTTGCCTCTCCACAGATCTGACCTGTAACCTGTAACCTGATGTGGTTAGGTCCCAATGATAGAAAGGTTTAATGCCATACTGTGAAACATTCCAGACAAAACAATAACATCTCCATGGAGAAAAAATCATTTGATGGACCCTCCACCAGAAAAATTACACAATGCACCTTTAACATGCACAGAATGGACTAAGGAGCAGGGAGGAACAGCAACTTCCTGTATTGTAAGGATATTGAATACAACACGCAGAACCAAAAAGCAGAACCAAAGTGCCTATTTAATAGCTTTTTAAATATACAATTGAAATCAGCTAGGAAAAAAGTATCAATAACTAATTTAACTAATTTGAGTGGATTTTTCTTTTCTTGAGTATTTTTTGCTCCAAAATCTGTACTATATATATAATCTGTACTCTCTCTTTCAATATATAATTTACTTTTTTGGTAAATGGTCACACTTTTTGTAGCGCTTTTCCACCTTCAAGGCACTCAAAGCACTTTACTACAAGGACCCACTCACTCATTCACACATATATTCATACACCAGTGTACGCAGACACTAGGAGTGAGGTGGGTTAAGTGTCTTGCCCAAGGACACAATGACAGCATTCATCTGTTGGAGATGGAATCACAATGCCAACCTTTGGGTCAGGGGATGTGAATACTCAACCATTGATGTTTATGTGGAGAGCAGGATTCAAACTGCCAACCTTCAGATCAATGGACAAACACTCTGCCAACTGAGCTACTGCCGCCCCAGCACTACTACTACTACTACTACTACTACTACTACTACTACTACTACTACTACTACTACTACTACTACTACTACTACTACTACTACTACTACTACTACTACTACTACTACTACTACTACTACTACTACTACTACTACTACTACTACTACTACTACTACTACTACTACTACTACTACTACTACTACTACTACTACTACTACTACTACTACTACAAGTAAAATTATCTATCAGTGGAAGAAGACTCTTGTACATAAAATATGCAACTACATTTTGTACAATTAATATAAGAAAAACAACAACTATTTGCAATTAAAATAAGAAACAAAATCAAATGTCGCCTGAATTAAGAAAAACACACTTATTACATTGGTTGATAATTTGACTTTACTTGGGTCAAATTAAATCTACTCAAATAAACTCAACTCAACTCAAGTAAAATGCTCTTAATTTAAGTAATTTTAACTTGTTTAGACATTGCTTTTTGCAGTGTATGTACTTGATGGTTCTGTTCATGACAACTGAAAGTATTTCTTCAGTGGCATACTTTTCGTTTTCCTTTTTTAATGTCCTCCTACAAACTACTTGATAGGAGATGGATAAGTTTAATGTCATACTGTGGAACATAGGCAAAATCACCAAGGAGACAAGCAGACAGCACACCCTGCACCAGAAAAGTTACATAGTGCACGTTTTCAGAACTAGTCTGCAATATTGAAGTTTTGGATATAGTATATTACATTTTAGGATTTTTTTGAATTTTTTTTTTTTTTTTTTTATAATGTATGTGTCTTATCTTGTCATATGGTAGAAATTGATTTGAATTTTAACCAGGTATAAATTAAACCTGCCTGTATTTTTTTTATGAATTCAAAATGTCACTACTTCATCTGTCTTATGCTACCACTGCATCTTTTATAATGAGGTAAGCCACGTAAAAGACAGAAATATCCCGCCATAAAAGGTGATCATAAAAAGGCTTGGTAATTCTTAGCATTTTCAGATTTTTGTCAGGTTCTGTAATAGCTTCTAACTCTATAAACCTAGTCTATAGCCTCACATGTCAATTCAGAGTTTATATGGGTGATTTCTATGGAGAAAATGAGATTCGGCTCCACAAACCACTCTGTAACTGAACCTGTCCAGTGTCAAGGTGACTGAGGAGCGGAGAAGGGCCGTATAATGAAACGCCCTTGGCTTTCAGAAGAATCAGCCTTTGTCAGAATCAACTTACAGGGAATACGGACTGGACTGGATAATAACACTATTGAAAAGCACGTTGAAAATTCTCAACATGTCAAATAACGAGTGGAGTTTGTGTTTGAGAGAAAGCACAGATACAGTAACATGATCAAACTAGACTGCATTCCACCTCGGATTCCTCAGATGTGGAGCTTTCTAATGCGTTTTATGAATTAGAAGAGGTCTGAAAACAATGGGGTTTGAGAATATGTTGTTTGAACTTACAATCTAAACACTGACTTAATGTAAATGAGACATAAAACAAAAAGGAACTGACAACTATACCAGTAAAGATGCATGATAATAAAACCTGTCTTCAACCTTTATACAAACAGTTCTGCAAGTGGAATCATCAAACAATCTTACAGAATATTATGACACAACATTTTAATTGAATATCACATTTTTTATTTCAATTCCTAATGGTGGTGTCTTTACTGTGTCTGAGTAGCAAAATTAGCATATTCAATTGTTTAGGCTTTGGACAGACATAGCCTACTGATCTATTGATTAAAGCAATGATACTATATGGAAAAAGGCAATTTTTTTTAATGTTTCAGTGAGACTGAAGTTTTCTTGCAAAATTTTACAATTACACATTCCATAACACACATGACATTACTCCTTGTTATCCTTTTATGGGTATAGTAGCCTTGGTTGCATATTTCCATTTTATGTATCCTGCATACCCCACATAAAAATACCATGACATTATCAACATTGATAAAACAAATGAACCTACTCCAAACATTACTGCATGAGGTAAACTAATGGACGGAAATGGTTGGAACTCCTCTGGGTGTAACAGAATATGTCCACTGTAAAAGTCCAAGTGGCTAAATGATCCTGAGAGTGGCGAGAAAGAGAAATGACTGCACATTATTGAGGTAGAAAGGCCAGCAGATAAGTGTCTTCCTGATGCAAAGCTATAGCTAGCAATGGTATTATAAAAGATCCTGGCTATTGTAACAATTACATGGTGGAGTACATAGATAAATACGTATACATTTACAGCTTAACTGGACAAATTATGCAAAAAAAAAAAAAGGCTTTGACCATGTTACAACAGTGTTCCCTCATCATTCACTTACTCAAAGTTGTATTTTGTATTTTGTTGCATGAATGCTTGAGTAATCCTGTATTGTCTTGCATTCAAAGCTTGAGTGCTCTAAAATGTGTTTTCACTTACCCCCTATCCCCGCCCAAATCACTGCATTTTTATTGTGATTATTTGAAAAACAGACTCTGAGTGATATATGTTGGATTAAAAAAAAAGCTACATGAAATTCTGCTGCTTGCTACATTGAAATGCCAATGGTTATGTTACACTGAAATGAATCACAGTACCACCGTATCACCATATCGGAAATGATTTGTGTCCAGACACATTGTTTCTGTGTCCGCAAGACTTCCCTATCCACACAGTTTTGAGCATATTTGTTTATGTTTTACAGAAACTAACCACATGGCTAATTTGCATAAACTAAGCTCTCAAAAAACAGCTGTCTCCTTGAGGGCTGATGCAGTTCAGCTTTTGTCAGACTAAAGGACCAGACTCAGTGGAATATATGTGTTCTTTCTGTGACAGAGGGGTGTTCTGCTAATGGTGAATCTGTTTGTCATGTCATGTGGACGGTAAAAACAAGGAAGTGGAGCACCGTGTCTGAAGTTGCAGGAAGATGGTAAGAGGGAAAACAGTCTTTTCGTGGACTGTGTACTAGCAAGTAGTTCTAACTACGCTGTTTCCCATCTGTCCATGGTTTGTTTAAACTGTTTTCCACAATAGTGTCACATGACCGATGTCACAGACCCAGCGAATCAGAAAGGCGCAAGTCACAGTGATGTGGTTCAATAAGGACGCAACTAGAACTCCTACGTCAGCGTATCAACTTTTTCAGGCGTCCTCACAGTGCTGGATCAGATCCCTACTCAGATGAATTCATGGGAGCTGGCGGCACCAGATTGTTCCGTCTCTGGAGCCGTTTTCCATCAGATTAGTGTGGACGAGCACTGCATACGCAACAAAAACAACTCGAATACGTACTAGTGTGGATGGGGCCATGAAGAGATGGCTCTTCTCAGTTTTGCAGTTTAGAACAGGAAGCCAATGGCAGCATTTCTTTTATTACAATGTAAAATGATGACTGATGCATGTTGTAGTTCTTTAGTAAGTACCCGTAAAAAAAGCATACATCTTCTTTAATGCATTCAACCCACAACTGTCCATTTTAATTACTCTAACTGAGCCTTACAAATGCAAAAAAATATGGCCCACAAATTACTTTGAACCAACCATGACACTAATGTAGCTAATGGAACACTGGTGTTTTTTTGTTTTATTTTGATCACCAACTACACCACAGCTAGCCTCAAGAAAACAAGTTGGGAAAAATGGCGTAGACCTTAGTGATATTTCTCCAATCAACTCTGACATAAAAAGACATTGTTGGCAGCTATCTAAGCAATTTTCCCTCACATTGGTACCAGTGATGACGCCAAGCTTTAGAGAGTTTCAAAGAATACAGTTTTCAAAGGGCTAAAAACTATATCCTACACAATGGCATTTTTA